GAAGGAAGGCGTACGAAGGATTTTTTCGCCCTTAAAAATCCACGGCTTCGATCGGGTTTGAACCCGGCTTTGGCGCCGCATCCTTGGATCTCGGAAGCTGCGCCGGAAACCACAATGGGAAGTGGGCCGCCTTCAACTGTACAAGCGCTATTGTCACAGGCGCCGTTCCCTCCAGAACGTAGGAGACTTGTGAATTCATTGGTGGTACTGTTCTTAAATTAATGTCCGCCAGCGTGAAGTAGTTCTGCAGTATCTCCAATAAGGTTACATTTTTTTAAACTCTTGTCACCCGGCCCCTGTGTTGTGGGCAGGATGGAGTGCTGTCATTTTTTGCTCCTTCGCACCAGAAAATCAGCCTTCGCCCTAGGCTTGAAGTGGCCAGGAAATGATTCTCTTTGATTTCGGGAGCAGCATTTGTCATCACAAAACATAGAAGAAGCCCCCAACCAACGAGATTTCTAGATGTTCTCTGATGACTAAATTATGCGAGTTTTTCAATAAAATGATAAATGCAAGTGACAAATACTTTTTTCTAAGATAAAACATTTGAAATATGCAGTGTTTTGAAAGTTACATTACAGTTCAAAGCAGAGAAAGAATTGAATATAAAATTAAAAAATTCAAATATGTGCGAACTAAGAAAACTTATTTGTTAATATTACATACAAATGTAAATACCTGATGATTTGATATTCTTTTCAAACTATTGCCAGCAAAGTGTGGGTACGCGCAGCGTTCTGGTTTTACATTATTTACCGTTTCATAATTATAATTGGTAAATCCGATATGTTCTTTATACAGCGTTAGTATATATGTAATACATGATAATTACTATCAAATCTACAACAAGACAAGAAAAAAAGAAACAGTTGTCAAATTTCAGCACTAGACTCTGTTCGAGTTAAATGTATTTCGTTTGAACCGTCTGAGCCACTATCACAATGCTTCTGAACAGGGAATAATAGAAAGTGACCAATCGATTGAAACGCTTTGTTCTATCATTTACCGATCACAAGCTTTGTCGTTCAACTTCACAATCACTGGGCAGAAGGGCTCAACTGACAATGAAATTATCTACGCTTCACATCAAAACAATGCTTTTTCAAATGTACTTGTATAATGTGACACAAGGTGAAAGTCATTTATTACTTTATTGCGGTACGTCGGAAAGTTTCCTCGGAAGAATTCTCTCAAGTTCAGCGACGGAATTATTGAGGTGTCATAAATTAATACTAGAAATTCCCGGAAATAACATCGATGGATATTACATATAAAAAGGTTTAACGATTCAGAAACAATTACCACAATTATCTGGTGAATGCAGAATTACATTCTGGAAACAAAAATATATTGAAACAGTTAACAAGCAAATGTACCGTATTTGATCCACTAGTTACTTTACCGGTTTGATTTAACACGCGTAAAAAAAAGTAAAGTCGACTGTTGACAACCTCAATCTCCTTATGAAAAAACCCGCAACGTACTCACATTGTCTTAGAAAGCTTTGTTGTTTGTTCACATTGTAAGACACTTCTTTTTAGTAGTTCTTTGACATATGAATAGCTGGGAAGCTTTGATGCCTTCATAGAGGCTCTAAATATATCAAATACCTTACAAGTGCCACAAGTTCCACCATACTGTTACTGGTCAAATATTATTATAATCACTTAACTCACATAGGACTTTTAAAATATTACTTAATACGTCACTGACATCTATGTAAATAATCCAAATGAACTTCAAAAAGTGCTGATTGCATGAGGGTGTAACTCTAGGTGTTACAATCGATGGTTCCAATTGAAAAGTCTAATCGTATTTCCAGAGTCTATCACATTTTTATTCGCGTCGAACAACATGGTGACTTCGACGCATCGAACACTGACAACGAATTCCACAGCACGAGGGTCATGGCAAGTGACTCGCCGCAAATACACGAAGGCAAAACTCCCGTTATTACTCGCACACCGCACACACACAAAATCCTTCTTTTCTGCGCCCACACACGGCACGCGAGAGCGGCGACCCACCTTGAAGATGAACTGGCCCATGTCGGAGATGCGGTTCTCGGCGGAGCCCGTGGCGCGCTTGAAGCAGTGCAGGTAGTCGCGCGTCAGGATGAAGTAGCGCTCCTTCCAGCGCGAGAAGAGGCGATCGCGCTGCTGCCACAGCAGGCCCTTCTTGATGGCGTGCATCTCTCGCCCGGGCGACAGGAGCGACTGCAACAGCAGAGCCACAGGCGCCGTCAGAAGACGGCCAGCGACGTGCCTCCCACCCCCACCCCTTCCTCCTCCTCTCTCCGCCGCGTTACGGGGTTTGCGTCACTGGCGCAGCGCGCGACGATACCCCCCCCACTCCAGACGCAATCCACCTTTCATCCGTCATATAGCGCCGCGCAGCGCTTGAGCGGCGCGCAAGATCCGCTTGGACACCGCGCGAACAAGGCGCGCATAGCATATGCCTCTGCGTGAAGCAACTCACAGGAACTGAGTGCGATAAGTTTTCAAGAACAATAACTAATAATTCCAGAAATATTAGATTTCATACAAATTCAATGTTAAGTTGAGAAATGAAATGCATTTGTTGGCTACAGCCGCAAGGCTTTCATTTGTTAGCCTGCACAAGTGCGCCCAAAATTTAAATTCTTGGTTTGAAAGCCATTTTATGGTTCCTGTAATATAGAGCTAGGCTGGCGTAAGGTTCGGTTTATCCGCAACCATGCGTATAGCAAATGTGTTACTCGATTCATTCAAAACAACTCTAACATTTCCAATAATAGAGGAGGAAAATACTTAAGGCTTTTTTTACAATAATAGCACTAAATTAGAAAAATATTATATAGACTATAGTCTTCAAAAACTATAAAGATAACAAGATCTGAATTGGTATCGCTATTCAGCAAATATTTTATTCTTGGTCTTATTTTACAATCCACTCAATTTTTTCTGTCCCACGGAAACTGCATTGATTGTGCGGTGGTCAAAGTGTGAAATTTCGCTCCGTGCGAGTCCAGAGCCTTTTGACGTTTCCCTCGGTCCCCGCCTTCGTGGGCGGCTGCGCAAGTCGGGCGCGGGCGCGGGCGCGATAACGGTGGTGTACGTGTCGGATGGGCGCTTGCGTCGCCTCATCGGACGCGATGCAATAACAGAGGAGGCACGGCCTTCCGGATTCGTTCCGTTAGTTCCTGACTAGCACTTTTCTCGGAAAAAAATACTCTGTCTGTTGGTTTCTTATACGCATGAGTGATGAATTGTAGACAGAACAGACGCCCTCTCAAATGGACTTCAACAAGAAGAGAATAGCAATAACGGAACTAAAAAAATTATGTAAGAATGCAATTGAAACAAGATATGAAAATGCAATATTTTGCTTATTTTGAAATGAGCAGAGAGTGTATCCCAAAGATAAATATTATAGTTAGCTTGACATTGCACTGCGCGAGTCTTTTTACGAAATATGGACCGAGAGACGTAAACAGAGGGGATTGGGTCAAGAAGACCATCTCAGAGGATAAATGGAAAACGGAAAGGGAAATAAATTCACACTTTTTCGCAGTGGCTGAAGAAAGCCTCCAATTCGTAATAAAAATGAGTTCCGTTACAGTTACTCTTGCCCACCCCTGCTGGTGATATCAAGCATGCCCCAGATTAGGTATACAGACAAAACAAACGTTTCAACGGACACTGTCCTCTTGTCTCTTGTCGACCATCTTAATCTCATCTCAACATTGTTTCCCGCCAATGGAAAGAGCCATGCTTAAATGTAAACACCCTGATTTCCCACAGATCTCCCACATTGATTCAGCTGAGAGTGTTAGCAAATAGCAAATATTTTAGGGAAAAATTGAAATGAGTAATCAGTGCAAGCAAAATACCATACATGAGTACACTCATCAACATACACAAACATCTCTTTGTACATAGCATTGCGATTTTCTAAAATATCGGTATTTTATGGTTATTAACGTCATTAGACCCGTATAGAGTAAAGAACCAATGCGTTGAAATTAGTAGATGGTGATAGCCGAAAATTATAACTAAAAAAGTAGGTTATTTTTATATTGGTCGGGTAACGTTTCAAACTTTTCGTCTACATTTTCTTAAAAGATATGATAAATCTCATTTAAGAGAAGTTTCTTATAAATCCGAAATACTTTTTATTTCAATAGAACACGTACGCCATCTTTAGCTATAACTCATTTGTTTCGATTGTTCTTAACAGACGGCGGTTGGTTAAAATCCTTGACTGACGCCGGTAGTTTAAAGTATTTTCGTTCCTCTATTTCTTATGTTAAAATCGATATAACAGTAGAGCGCGAAAAATGTGCTCGTCTGCAAAATGCAGAAGAGCCTCTTCCGTCAGAAGATTATGAAGGTCATTCTGACCAATCTCGCAGCAGCAGGGGCAATCCCTGCGGAGGTGCCATCGGTTTGCGAGCTCGCTGCGCCTGGGAAGGCGTTCGGGTCGAGCAGCGGGGCAACAACGCGCGGGAGGGGGGGGGTCCAACCGGCGGCGCGCACGTCCCCCTTGCGCCGAGCAAACACCGCGCCAGTCGCTGCGGCCGTGTCACTTTCCGAAACAAGTGCGCGCTTGTCGCGGACGAGTTGGGAACAGGTCCTGCACTGGCCGGGGGCCTCCGAGACGCTCCACGTGGACATTTGCAGTCGTAGCAAGAGCTCCCGAGCCAGGATGCCTGATTGGCTGTACAACACGTTTTGGAATTGATTACGCAGTACATGGAAATGGTTGAGCGGGAAGGCAATCTAGTGACCTGTTAACACGAGCTACATTATACAAAAAAGATACATTTTGCGATTACATATAAAATAAATTTTACTAATTCACTCTAATAGCCATCACATACATTAATTGACGCAATTTGCAACTTGAACAAAACATTTTTCGAAGATTAATTTATTAACAGTAATGCGTTGTAATATGAACGACTATTTTCTTGCACTCACTAAGCGTATTTGGAGTAATGTGTAGGTATCTAGAACTAGCAATAAAAATTAATATTTTTCTTCACGTAGCATCCAGAACGATATTGCACCCACCTCTTCAACAAGTACCAATGTCTTCCAGAAGGCAGACAGGGTGAGCGTAATGCTGACATTCATTCCTTGTAGAGACAAGACCAATAACCGGAGATGTTTACCCAACACATTCTTTAGTTCTGAAGTTGGCATAAATTTAACCATCTACGAAGTGTCTTAATGTCGCACCGAGACGATGCCTCACGTTTACGACACACGATAATTTTTCGCACGTCGTACACAACTTAAAAAGGGCATGCGTTTCATTAAATGATACTGTGAGATACGCCTCGATAAATAATAACTATACATTTTATGGGCACTAAGCAATGTGCAACCATTATCGTCAAGAACCAATTCGTCACAATTATTTACACCCACGTGGGACCCTCATCCTGGGACGTCACCTGACGCCGCTGCCACTACCACCTTAAACCTAGGGCCTACTTGAGTGCGTCTTCTCAGTTTACAATTACATTTGCTGTCACGTACAAACACTACGTCAACTAGCCAACGTAACAATTACCTACCACATCCATACTAGTGCGCAGGTGTGGCCAGGGGAACCGTGCCCCCCATCCCCTGGAATTTTCGAAAGAGGGACCGTTTGTCCACGTAATAAAACATTATATTTCCAAAAATATAATCAATTCTTGATTTTACCCTTTTTAAGCTGACAATGTGGGGAATCAGTACACAATTTCTTTAAAAGGGGCTCTCAAAACCATTCGGAAACCGCGTAAATTGTTCAACATAAAAATAATTGTATTTACTAATTGAATCACTAAAATTACGAGTTCATTCTCCTTGAATGTTTGATTTATTAACTACTAAAATGTGTCGTATGTAAATAACACAGTTTCATGGAAAGGGAGACCCGGAGAGGCTGGCAAATGTAGCTGGCTCCGTCTCGTTTCAGACGGCGCACGCCTATCACATCTGTTTGCTTAACAAAGGAATCTGCACCGTACGAAGACCCTCGATCTAATCGTGCGCGCGCTCCAGTAGCGCCGAGGCGGGCGGGGGTGGGGCGGCGGCGGAGGCGGCCAGTGGTGGCCGTAGCAGCCAGCGCCGCGTCATGCACGCGCGCGCAGATTGCGGGTCTACTGGCGTCTCGGCGGCGCGACCGGCCGGCCAACGCAAACGCGCCCGGCCGCGCCGTCTACGGTCCCGACCTTGCTCGCGCCATCGCCACCGGACATCCCCCCCCCCCCGTCGCTTGGCCTTGCTTTATAGGGTCGGGTAAACGCGGACCACGCGCCGGCACCCAGTGCAAACCTTTGGGCGCGGATGCACAAACATGGGAATGGGATCCAGAGACGAGTTACAACGCGGACACTAAAGACCCCCCCCTCTCGAAAAAATGGAAATTCAGAGAAACAGAGGGCGAGGGCGAAGGGGAGAGAGAGAGAAGAGAGAGAGAAGATGAGAGAGAGAGAGAAGAGAGAGGAGAGAGAGCGAGAGAGAGAGAGAGAGAGATGAAGAGAGAGAGAGAAGAGAGAGAGAGAGAGAGAGAGAGAGAGAGAGAGAGAGAGAGAGAGAGAGAGAGAGAGAGAGAGAGAGAGAGAGAGAGAGAGAGAGAGAGAGAGAGAGAGAGAGAGAGAGAGAGAGAGAGAGAGAGAGAGAGAGAGAGAGAGAGAGAGAGAGAGAGAGAGAGAGAGAGAGAGAGAGAGAGAGAGAGCGGGGAAAAAGAGAGAGAGAGAGAGAAGAGAGAGGGCAGAGAGGAGAGAGAAGAGAGAGAGAGAAGGAGAGAGAGAGAGAGAGGAGAGAGAGAGGAAGAGAGAAGAGAGAGAGAGAGAGAGAGAGAGAGAGAGAGAGAAGAGAGAGAGAGAGAGAGAGCGAGAGAGAGAGGAGAGAGAGAGACGAGAGAGAGAGAGAGAGAGAGAGAGAGAGAGAGAGGAGAGAGAGAGAAGAGAGAGAGAGAGAGAGAGAGAGGAGAGAGAGAGAGAGAAGAGAGAGAGAGAGAGAGAGAGAGAGAGAGAGAGAGAGAGAGAGAGAGAGAAGAGAGAGCAGAGAGAGAGAGAGAAGAGAGAGAGGAGAGAAGAAGCGAGAGGCAGAGAGAGAGAGAGAGAGAGAGAGAGAGAGAGAGAGAGCAGAGAGAGAGAGAGAGAGAGAGAGAGAGAGAGAGAGAGAGAGAAGAGAGAGAGAGAGAGCAGAGAAGAGAGAGAGAGAGAGAGAGGAGA